CATGTGTTTTTGTGAGAAAAGAATGGACATTTTGCACACAGGGAGACAGTGAGAGGAAGGAGGTGCAAAAAAACAAAAGGGACAAGTAAAAGAGGATTTTGAAGAGTGTGACACTGAACATGTGTGTGTGTGTGTGTGTGTGTGTGTGTGTGTGTGTGTACTATGTGTGTGTGTACTATGTGTGTGTCCATCTGTGTGTGTTTGTGCCATAAGACAATGTGTTAAAATGAGCCGCTTTGATTGCCGACGCTCTATGAGTCACAAATGATGACTCACAATCCACCTCCCTGAACAGGCACTCATGCATACGCACACAAATAAAGACACATACGGACACACGCACACACGCTGCTCGTTCTCTCTCCTGCCTTCATCCACTGACCGTGAAGAATATGTGCAGGCAGCCTTACTCATGCATATTTACACTGAACACACACTCACTCACCTACTCAGTGGCCACTCTCTAAAGGTTACTGTGTGTGAGTGTGCGTCTGTTTGTCGGTCCGTTCACGTAAGCGCGCATGTGTAAAGGTCACTTTAAGCGAAGTGGACCACTTGTTTATGCCGTTCACAGATTGTAGGATGGATATCGAGAACACTTGAACATTTAGACAAACAACAGTTATTAACCAGACAACCTGCCTGAGAGCTAATAATGAATAAATATATGTATCCTAAATGAGCATTGCAGCCAATTATGTCCAAGAGCCGCTCCTCAGTCCTATTCAGAACCCACAATCACTCATTCACCCTGAACCCTTCACGGTCTATTCTTGACCAGACAGAGAGAAGAGAAAGGGCAAAATCTGCTACTTGGCTTTAAGCACATTTTCCATCCAGATTATTGCTGCTCAATACTTTTCAGGAAAAAAAAAAAATCCATTTCCCCCTTTCCTTTGGCTGCTCGATACTTATGAAAATCCAATTTGGCTCCCTCTTTTCTTTCTTCCCTCCACAATTCGTGCATTTTCACCCACTCAAAGTGATTAGTGATCTGTGGGTATCGTTTCCAGGGAGAGTGATAGCTGTGTTTTATGGAGGAGGGGAAAGGTCCAGGGCTCCCCATCAGGGCTGATGTCCCTCGGAGAATGACTGGGCTGGGAGGGCAGACGGGAGCACCGCTGTCTCTTTGCAGATACAGCCAGTTGCTCTACATCACAGGAGAGTAGACGACTCACTTTATCTCTCCCTCACTTTTCTCTCTACTCCCTCTATCATTCATTCCTTTAGCTCTCTTCTTGCAGGCAAACTCGCCTTTTCTCAATTTCTCCTTGAAGCACACACACAAGCAGACACACACATGCTATATATCTTTCTAAGACACCCCTCCCCACAGCCAATCCGCCCCTCAAAGAAACTCATTTCAGCTTTGCGGGCTCCTCAAAAAGCCTCTTTACGCTGAGCTAACCTAAGCTAGGCTTCGTCTGCACCATTTGACAGCCTTTACATCTCAGTATGCAGAGCAAACACACACACACACACACACATACACACACAGCCTTTTCATCTTTACAGTTTGAAAAAGAGACACCAAAGGTTTAAGACAAAATAAAGGGAAAAAATAACTCATAACACATTTCTACATCCAGCCTATGACAATCCAAACATCTGTAAAAGTGAGGGCATCCACTATACACAAATACACTGAATGCAATCTGTACTAGTGCGAGAGACATATGTTAATACATGTCAGCCTGTAAGTAGGTGATTTAAAATGCTGAGCATAAGCCAGATGAAGCAATTAAATTTTCACTGCCACCTGGATGATTCAAGGCAGACATTTTAAGGCAGGAACTCAAGCACTAGGAGCATACTTAGCAATCAAAATATAGCAAGAAGGCTCCCATAGAAATATACTTGTCAGAGTAGAGATGTCTCACTGTGATAGATGGTTGAAGACATCATTTGTGCTCTATTCAAGATATTTCTATCCGCCGGCTTCCGTTAAATAGCACATTTCACTGAATACACGGGGACCCGATCACAATGGGAGACAGCCGCCATCAAGTCCTCTCTCATCCAATCAAAGAGCACAATAGACTCAGATCAGCGTGTCACGGTCAGGCCTGTCTTCATGTGGGTCAATCAGTGTATTCATCAGCATCATGCAGAGCCGGCTGATTCAAGGCACCTACCTTTTCGATTTTCAAAAGCACAGTCGGCCTGAGCTCCTGATCATTCAAAGCATGCTCAAGTATGAGCACATTTACACACGTGCGTGTACAGCTTACCTTACCAAAAATAAACCATTCCAATTGAATGTGAAACACCAGGTCTTCAAATACTGCAGCTTGGTCCACAGTCCAAAGCCATGAAACTCTAGGTACCCTTCTAATAGTATTTCTGAATGCTTTATATTTTGATTTGGCATTGAAGTCTTGTGATGAAGAATAACAGCATGAGGAAAATGTACAATGTGTAATAATGTTTTGTTTTTCAGAAACGGTCATGTAGTGTGCATAGTAGATGCGACAAAGAGTTCCTGTTTATTTATCATGTTCTAGGATAGGATAGGATAATACTTTATCATTATTAATACTGCATGATTACACAGTACCCGTGTATGTAAAACGATGTCTCTCCTGATTCCAAAATGATTCTGACTAGTAGTAGTGCTGTTCTTTTTTTGAGACATTTGCCACGTTTATCTGGCTTTTCTCTTATTCCTCAACGATCTTGCCAGCTTACCTCGCAACAAGTCGACTCTAACTAATCTGAAGGTAGCTGCTGGCTAGCTTGAGTTTATCTGATGGGACAAATGGTGTAAAATACAGGCTCCATGTCTCCAGGCCTCTGTCTGACAGTTTAAATTATTAGCATGCTTAGTGTGAACATGTTTATTTAATTTTATTTAAGCACAATGTGTTAATCGTCCATGTTCAAAACAAATATTCTGATAAAATGCCATTTTTTCTTTTTATCAGGAGATGCAGCTATAGTGATGGATGGTTCAAACACTGAACTTTCACCCAGGAGCCTATAGGTCAATCCCTGTGCGAAACACATATAACCTTTTTCAACTGGCATCAACATGTAGTATTAGTGATCTGATCATAAGTGGACAGCACTTGAGTAAGAACATTTACACTTTGCATTAACATTGTGTACCCAGTGACCACTTGTGTTTGGATCTCACTTGCCTGCTGCATATACAAATAAGCACTTATACATAATTTTTTGTTTGAAAAGACCAATTATGTCATCGTTTTTACCCAGGGGGGAGGCAGCATTGTTTTCCCAGTTCTCAACAGTGCTACCACAGATTAAATCACTTGAGTGGGAGGTCCTTAATGTGGCCAAGGAAGCATGAGCTTTCACACTACCAAACCAGTGTGGACAAAAGCGACATATTGAGTGCGTTCAAACCTAGCATTAAGGCTGTCCACTTGTGATCCAATCATCCAGTAGGGATGTTAATGCAAAGTGTAAATAGGGCCATAGTTCAAGTTGATCCATTTTATGAAGCTTATGTTTAAGTATTTTTAAATTATATATGACGAACGTAAACTAACTACAGTGCAGTACTTACTTTGCATAAGGTAGCCATGATGTTCTGTATGTTTTGACTTATCTTCATCAAAAAACATTTTATAATACCTTACCAAGTAGTTTTCCTACCTAAACCAAACCAAACAGTAATCATTTCACAATTTTAAGTGAATTGATAATTGCATTGCATTGCATGATAAGTAATAAACTTGAATTTGTTTTTCAGAAAGCTTTTTTTTTTTTTTGTCTAACCAACCAAATGTTGCTAAATGTTGCCAGAGTGGTACCTAGATTTTCATATTATGAGGCTTAGGGCTTAAACCAAGCTCCCATATTTGATGAGTAGGGTCAACCCGAAAAAAAAACTTGAAGCCTATTGGTTCTAAATGTGTGCATCACCATCTATACAGGAGCCATTGCACTTCAAAACCATCGAAGACAGCCACTTAGCCATACACATGAAAATCAGGGGTGGTACCTCTGAGCATTCCTAAATTCACAGAGGGTGGTGTCCCATATAGAGAAAGAGGGCAGGAACAAATACGTGAAAAGGCAGAAAGAAGGCAAGAAAGAGAGTGAGTTTGTCCATCACTGAACAAAAAGGCAGAGCAGAGGGGCTGGTGTTTAAGAAAGTATTCAAAAACACAGGACGACTTGGATAGGGGGGGATCATGTAAACAGCATTGCTTTCATTCACAGGAACATCTGTTTAGATTCACATGTGCTCAACAATGTGTGAGAAGGAGCCCATGTGAGGACCGGCGACAGTGAAGCAAGACATGCTGGATGCCGATGAAAAAGCCACAGATAATGTGGATGAGTGTTCCTGTGAAAACTGCGACAGTCATTGATCTGAACCATGATGCAAATAGCACATCATGCTCACATACCGGTATGTAAACACTGTGCATACACACACTCGAACGCTTCCATCCCCTCAATCGAACCCTTACATACAGATGAGAGAAAGTGAAATGAGGTGAAAGAGTAAAAACTAATTCAAACCATTCAAGGAGTCAGTCGGTCAGTCGGCCCTTAGCTCCATTCCCATGACCTGCCAAGTCTAAGCCAGCCAAGCGCCGTCAAGCTGCAGCCGCCTACACCCTCCCATTACCCCCTCCCACATCAGCAGTCAGGATAATAGGATAAATCACAGCAGAAGTTGCTCTCAGGCTCATCACTCCCTTAAAAAAGTCACATTTAAGGACATATTTTATTTGATTTTTTTAAATTGTTCTACTGCAAAAGCCCAGGTCATCCATTTCAGTTTAAATCAAAACTGAAATTTTCTGATGAAGCCAAATGGGACCGTTTTAAAAATGAAGAAATCTCAATTACAGAGCGAAAAAAAAACTGACCTTGGTTCAGTGCCTAAAGAGTCAACTTCCTCCAGCGCCAGGTGGTGATGAATTGGGGGAGGGATTCAGGGAGTTGTGAGTGTGGGAGTGAGGAGATAGAGGTATGATGGTATAGCAGAGGACAACAGGAAGTGAGGTAAGAGGAGGCCATACCTTGGTCGCCAATCATCAGGTGTGCCAGACCTTAAAGGAAAACAAGAGCACAGTCAGCACAGCAAAGGATCATGGAGTGTGAAGTATGTGCTTGTGCATATATGTGTTTTTTTTGGGATCTTTCAGTGACATACTAATGAAGGCTAAAGTGCTCTGTGTAAAAGTGTTTGTGCGTATGTGTTTGTTTTCTCCATTATTAAATTTTTCTAAATGGAAAAAAAAAATGGACTTGGAAGACACTTACTCGTCCCAGGCAGCGATCCTATGCACACACAGGTATGATCACAAACGTTTGCACACAGCAATGAACTAGGTCGTATACGGAACAGAATCTGTGTGTGCTTTTGTCTCAGTAACCTTGAGGCCATTTCGGATGATTGCACACGGGATGCAGAACTTACCAGCTGTCAGCGACCAATCCCCACATACCCACACAGACCCACAAACATTTACACTAGCTTTCTCGTACAGTATTTACACTACAGACTATTGAATAAGGGCAGAGAAGAGATGAAAAGGGACACAAATTAAAATTATCTTAAGGGCGGATAAAGAAGATAATAGAGCTAAATAAATATGTTCTGAAATAATAACTACATACATTTGAGTAATGAAAAGGAGAGGATGAGATAGAGAAGAAAGGAAGATATGTTTATATCAAGAGCAGGAGGACAAGTTTGAAGGCAGACAGACACACACAGAAGTGCAAGAAAGACAGACAGACCGACAGACAGATAGATAATTAGATAGACAGATAGAAAGATTGATAGATAGATAGAAAGTGCAACCTACCTGGAGTGTAGCTGTGCTCTGGAAAGGTGTAGCGGCCGAGTGAGGAGAGAGAGAGACAGACATTCATTAACATGCATGCTAAGCCCTAGGGTTACCATGGCTACTTACTGTACATGCACACCCGTCCAGTGTTACCAGGGTAACATACATGCAAATTAGTCCACACAAACGTCACGATGGATACCATGCTGCACTGGTAGCCAAAACTGAGGTTTGTCTATATACACCTATATTTATATAGATATATACCTACACGTCAGCATTAGAACAAATGCTTTCTCGATGACTACGAATGTGTGCATACACTTATATAAGCGCACACACACTCACGCATACATCAACCCACACCTGTAGATACTGAAGGGGGAGGGGTTGTGGGCCGAAAATACACTTTCCTACCTGGATTTTTGGATTTTAGAGCCGTTTTACCCCAGAACTTACCTTGCAGCAGTTTCCTCTCTCCAGAGCCCCCTGACAGATAGCATGCAATATGCAAACACACTCACACACATAAAACACACACACACAACAATCTCTCAGTCTTTCACACGTACAGGCGCACATACACTTACATTGAATATGACAGTATTACTATGGTGTGAAATAGCAGGGAAAACATGTAGGGATGGATTAGCAGTGCAGGAAGAGGACAAGGGGCATGCATGGTTCAATACTGGGACTGAGAGTGTGTGTTTGATTTTGTGCATGTTAGAGTGTGTTTGTGTAAATGTGTGAGTGCATTCCGAGCTGTGTGCAGTTCATCATCTGAGTCATCCCTTGCCTCTGCCCTTGTGCTAGTAGCATGGCAGAAACAGGTGGAGCTATTAGCATGCTAACAGCAATTTGCCCTCAAGGACAATGCAAGCCAGGCCAGGCCTAACAAGCCAGGTTCACTCTGCCTTCACTGGAGGGCAGAGAGGCTTAGACAGTAATTTAATTTATGCATAACCCAGTCCGTTCTCTGTTGACTGTTGTTCGAATATCCCTAATACTATTTCTTCTCAAAAATGGAAACATTATTGTACCTTGAACAAAAAAAAAGATCCTGAAAAGTAGCCCTCTTCTCTCACATTGGTAAGAAGTAGGTCTGGGTGATAAGGACCAAAGATTAAATATCTTTATACTTATTAGCTGAATGGCGATACACAATTTATATATATTTTTTTTAATTCAGCTCTAAGTCCAAGTCTAAGTTGAATCCACATGAGACAAATTTCAAACAAGCCCTTGTATTAACAGCCAGCTGCACAATGTTAACATGTTCATAAAAATGGCACAAAATAAACTACCTGTTTGTAAAGTAAAAATGTAATAATATTAAAGGTCCAATATCCACAGAATATAATCAGATAAATGACCTTACAAAATCATCAGATATTAGGGAAACATACATGCAGCCAGTAACTCCTTCTAAGTTAAGAGCTTCGGCATTTGTCTGATAAGCTCAACGACCAGAAACGTGGTAAAACTCGCCAATGTTTTGAATTTGGACTGCAGTACCCATTTTAAACGCTAGGTGTCAGGGTTATATATTGGTCCTTTAAATAAAAATGCTCCTTAAATAGCATAAAATAAATAGAAATGTCCAAAACTTAGAACGACGTATAAATAATGAAATATTTTCAGGGAGAAAACAATGCTTACAGTGTATATAATTTAATAGATATGTCTCATCATTATCTTAAAAATTATGGGCTGAATAAAAGTGGATCTCAAGGAACCAAGAAAGATATGGTGTGAACAATAACGTGCACAGATATCACACTGCCGCAGCCAGACTGCTTATTTTTGGCTTCAAACACTGTCCTGAGGATCCACTTTTTCCTTCAGCAGAGCACATTCATTCGGTATTAAAGATTCATAACTGAATTTTTTTTCTACTTTTCAGAGGGTTATAATTTTAACTCAGAGCTTTATTGTGCCGCTTAAGTGAGGTGGCTGGGTTCAAAATAACAATAATTTCAAGGTAAGAAATAAACCTTTATAGTCGTCTCTGCCTGACACTTACAGAACTGCACAGCCTTAACTCACATAGTTGCAAATAATGATCACCTCTTTAACCATGTAAAAAATGTAAGTGCATCAAATGCAATCATTTTATAAAACCTTCAGTGCTATTAACATGTTTATCCAAACAGGGGAATTTGACCTCAGCTTTTATCTTTAACTTTCTTTTTCATCCATTTAATTTTTACTCAGGCACAGCCTTTGATATTTTTCCTCTCAAAGTGCCTCTGAAAAGAGATGACTTACTGTCATAATATGGGTTGGTATTTGCAAATGACTGGTATTGATACAGATGCATGGTTAGTAACTTAGCTAGGAATGCTTCTGTTGGAGCTATTCCATTGAGCTGCTATATTGTCTGACTGACATGAATAAACTAAGTAAACATTGCATAAACTAAGTAAATAAAAAATAAAAAAGTATACCACAACACAACACAGCACGCCAAAGGGCATCCATCATCTGCTCCGTTATCCTTTGAGACTGTCCTGTAATTCTGAACTATTTCCAGAGAATAAGTTTTATGATTCATAGCGGCTTAAGACATACACCAAACACAATTGTTGCAGTCTGATGTCCATTGTCTATGATTTGGCCCTTACCCACTGCTATTTATGTCTGTTAGAAAGACCTCTTCTTAACTGAAAATGTGGGAATGCTCTTTACATTGAATCTTTTTCCT